AAAAAAAAAAAAAAAGTTATGTGGATGTGTTAGCTCTCCCCCACTCAAAATACTTTATTGTATAATATTCAAGCTTTTTCTTGTGATCTGTCAATCTGATAACCAGAATAGCTACCAAGTGGCTAGCAGGTGGGTAGCATACACAGCATCAATATACTGAACAAAGGGAATATGTTCCAGGCTAGATTATGCAAGATTTTCGTTATGCTACTCGCAGTGGTATGCAATTTATGCATGCAGTTTGGAAGGCCGAGGAAGGTGGATTGCTTGAACTCAAAGAGTTCGAGACCAGCTTGAGCAAGAGTGAGACCCCATCTCTTAAAAAAAAAAAGTAGCTGGGCATTGTGGTGGGTCCCCATAGTCCCAGCTACTCGGGAGGCTGAGGCAGGAGGATCGCTTGAGCCCAAGAGTTTGAGATTGCTTTGAGCTGTGATGTCACAGCCTCTCTCAAGGGTGACAAAGTAAGACTCTGTCTCAAAAGAACCCCAAAACTTATGAATTGTTTAATTCAGGAATTTTCCTTTAATATTTTTTGACTGTAGATAACTGAAACCGTAGACTGTGAAACCACAGACAAGGGGGAGACTATGTTTATAGTTACTAACACATAATGAGGGATTAGATATCAAGGGCTTTAAGCCAGATTTTTCTCCCTCACTTTCAATGATAGGTTGGTTGTCAATTACCGGATTTTTATATTAACTTGTTTTTTTCTTTCCTTTCACTAGGCTTATTTAGGAGCATACGTTTTTATTATATTCTCCACCTTCCTCATTATCTTCTTGGTCTTCACCTTCTTCAAAGTCCCAGAGACCCGGGGCAGGACTTTTGAGGATATTACACGGGCCTTTGAAGGGCAAGCTGCAGATAGTTCTGGGAAAGGCTCCAACATGGAAATGAACAGCATGCGGCCTTTTAAGCAGTCTACCACCCCTGTCTAAGTCATGCCTCCTTCCACCTCCCTCCCAACATGGAAAAGCAACCTCTCCCTGTTTGAGGGAGAGACTTCATCAGGATGAACCCAGGACTGCTTTTGAATGCTGCTACTTGATTCCCTTCTCATCCCACACACTCCATGAGCACTCAGATGAACACTCCATGAGCGCCCCAAATGCTGGGGTTAGTTGGATTCTCAATGGCTTTTTAAATATTTCATTTCTTAGGCATTCTCTCCTGTTTAGGAGAGACCAAGTGAACCTACCTTCATTTCAGGAGGCATTGGCCACTTGGCAGATGACAACTTTGCCAGCTTTTCCTCCCTTAGGTTCTAATATTGCCCCACTAGGGCATATAGGGGAGGAAGAGTAAGGTGCAATTCCCCCAACCTCAGACTTACCAGGAAGGAGATGTACAGAAGAGTGGAAGGCAGAGGGGGATCAAATAAGAGCACCTTCCTCACTTCTGTACAGCTCACACGCAAGTTAACTTGAGTTTTATTTATTTTACCTTCTGGTTTGATTACATAAATATTTATTTTTTTAAGTGTAAAGTAATTTTACCAAATAATGAAAACGTTAGGAAATTGAGGTTAGAGGGAGGTGTTGAAAGAGAGGCTATAGAGGAGAAGATTTGATGCTAGAGAGGTTAAGATATATTAAGAAAGGAAGAATTTCGGGGAAAATGTAGGTCACTATTGGAGGGTATGTGTGGTGGTGCCTGAGGTTTGCGTGTTGCCACTTAACAATTTCCTTCAAATAGAAACTCTTTTAAGTTTGATTTCTCAGAAAAGTCCATGTGCCTATATATATATATATATAAAAAAAAAAAAGCTACTGATTTTCTTTGGAATTTTTTTCTTTTAAGATTATAGTTTATCTGAAGTATTACGTAAAATCTAGGAGTAACTAAGATGGGCATTGTAGTTACTGGCGGTTAATGAGTTTTAATTTTGGATGGAGTCCAGGAAAGGGAAGTTATTTCTAGAAAGCCTCCTCCCCCTCACTGGACTAAACAAGCTCCTTCCCCTTGTAGTGGGCTAATATTTTTTAAGTAATCCCATTGCCCATCTGGTGGGAGAGCCCTTCAAATGGGAAACCTAAAATAATTGGTTCTTGGGAGAGGTTCAGTATTTCTCTATTTTGTTCTTTAGGAGATTTAGGTGTTAGTTTTTGTTTTATTTTAACCTATAGTTTAGGAATTCAGAGGTGAATGCCATAGCTAACTTGGAATTTGTAACCTCTGCTCTGGGAGAGGATTTTTCCTGAACGATTATTATCTAGTTTAAGTATGTTGTTGCTTAGGGTTGTGGCATGCTTGTTTGTGTTACCATGTTATTGTGGTACTATGTCACGTGCCCTTAGAGGACTGGAATCTTTTCCAATAGACCACATTTGAGTAGTATGAGTCAATGTGCAGTGTAGCCCACACTTGAGAGTATGAATGTATGTGCACTGTCACTTTGCTCTGGGTGGAAGTAGTTTGTTGTGATTTGTTTGCTCTGTTCCTATAGCCTCCTTTTGAATAGAATTATTAAAACTCACCCCTCTCCATGCATTTAAATAACACTGCCTCTGCTGGGTGGTATTTACATCCAGAACTTCAGAATTCAGACTCAGCTGGCTTCCTTTCCCTGTTGGAAACTGGGGGGAGAACTTCACAAATATTGAGGTTGAGAGTGGAGGGCTCAGCCTCACTCCATATTCGGACAAGGGGAATAGGAAAGAAAGTATGAGATCAGAGCACTGGCCTCTTGGGGACACAGAGAGGGGCTGGGGGAGGCATTCTTTCAAGGGGATAAGAAACAGAGGCTTCTAACTCTGGAGCCTTTCAAAGAGTTAGAGGAGACAGAGGGATTTACTCTTGCCACAGGTCATGGACACCTCTACAGTCATCTTTTTTATAAATGGAGATGGGACCCTGATGACTCTCACCCTCTCTTCCCATTTTCCTATTTTCATATGTCTTTGAGCTCCCTTTCCCCTCCTTGGTGCTTATATTTCAGGCCCTTTAGACAAACCTTGTCAGCAACAGTATTTTACTCCTCAGTTCTCACCATTCCCTCTGGTCGTTGAGCCTTTGGATAAAAACTCATGTTCACAATGGAGCAAGGTTTTGTTGGCAAAGGTGACTTTCCTCTAACTGCACCTCTACATTTGGCTCATCAAATGGTGGGTTGGCTGTAAGGCAGGGTGGAAATTTTCCTATTTCTCAGTGACCAGATTGCGAATGTTTATGTATGAATTTTCTATTATTAATGTTACTGTGGTTCTGTTTAAAAATAAAAATTCTGGACATACATATGACATCACAGGTGCATTCTTTCTTTTCCTTTCTCTTTTTTTTTTTTTTTTTGAGACAGAGTCTCACTATGTTGCCCTCGGTAGAGTGTGGTGTCACAGCTCACAGCAACCTCAAACTTGGGCTTAAGTGATTCTCTTGTCTCGACGACCTGATAGCTGGGACTACAGGCACCTGCCACACGCCTGGCTATTTTTTGTTGCAGTTGTCGTCGTTGTCTAGCTGGCCCAGGCCGGTTTCGAACCTGCCAGCCTCAGTGTATGTATGTGGCTGGTGCCGTAACCACTGTGCTAGGGCGCTGAGCCCATTGTTTCTTTTTTGTTTCCTGTAACAAATCAACTTTTTCTTTTTTTTCTTTTTGAGACAGTCTCACTATGTCACCCTCAGTAGAGGGCTGTGGCGTCACAGCTCACAGCAGCCTCCAACTCTTGGACTTAAGCAATTCTCTTGCCTCAGCCTCCCAAGTAGCTGGGAGTACAAGCACCCACCACAACACTCAGCTATTTTTTGGTTGTAGTTGTTGTTTGGCAGGCCTGGGCTAGATTCCAACCTGCCAGCTCCGATGTACGTGGCTGGCCCCCTAACCGCTGAGTGATAGGCCCTGATCCTGTAACAAATCAACTTTAAATCCTGGTTTGCTCACTACCTGTTGTAACCCTTGAGAAAGTCTGTTAGTGTCTCATAAATAGAAAGTAGCAATACATGGTTATTATAAAGATGGAAAAACATTCATGCATTGCTTT